TAGAAGTATTACTGTGTCGGGTCGAGGTTTAATACTGAATTGCGGTTGCTCGTGGAGTGCGTAGGTGAAAGGAGGTTGTTATGGTTGGGGTCAAGGATCTGGAGGGCATTGAAGATGGGGTTATTAAGAAAAATATTGTTGTCGTTTAGGGAAAGGTTTTGTTTATATGTTTGTTGTATGTAATATTTCTCTATTGTATCTCTATGTCTTTTGTTACGTTCCAATTTGTAAATCGATCTTTCGATACGGAACGTGAAATGATATTTTAAATATTTTATATTTTATTATCTTATTAAAAATTATGATTTGACGGAAAATATTAAATAATAATTAGAGTTATACAAAGTTGCTAAGAAGCCTCACTACGAAACAGTTATGATGACAGATTCTGTATGTGACTGTAGGCTTAATATTTTAAATATACTATGGTTTTGTAAAACTGTATGTATGTTTGAACCTATGTATATTTATCCCACATTGCAACTACACACATTACAAGCTCTTGTTTTACGTCATCCCAGACTCTTCTAGTACTTGTTCGTATTCCCAGGCTATATTTAAGATAATAACACTGAGGGGGGGGGGGCAAGTTATTCGTTTTACCAAAACATTTCTTTACAAAAAGGAGAAGTTTGCCTGTAAAAGAGAGAGTTTTTAACGGCAAGATATGTATTCAATCAGTGTTTGGAAGTGTGATTAATAGAGTGTTATCTTATATCCTTGGATGACGTAGATCAGCGTGATCCAATTGGCTGCCCGCGAGCCGGATCCGGCCGGCGACCACTTGTAATCCGGCCCGCGAAAGTATTTGTTATTTTTTACTAGTTAGTACAACCAATTTATTAAAAATAATTGTTGCAGGAGCAAATTTAAAATAATATACAACTCTGTAGTTGACTAGAACCTCGGTTATTTAGCTCGTAGCCTAATCACTAAACTGATTGACCACCCCCTGTGTCTGTTATTCGTTCTGTAAAGTCGTAATTCGACGCTTTCTTATGCCGTCAGTCTTTACCCATATTCGAAATACGTTCATGTGAGTCGTCGCAAACAGCATCAACGTATCCGAGTCCGTGTTGCAGACATCGAAACACTTTCTCCTGTGTTTCTAAATCACGTAAACTGAACGATAGTCCCCCAACTCCAAATGGTCAAAAAGTTGCTCCCTTTCATTCCACTCCCCTGACGCCACCACACCTCAACTTTTGAAACTAATTTGCTGCCCGTGTCTCTCAGTAACAGATTTGGAAATAAGTGTGCTATTGAATACAGAGAACCATATTATCTTCAAGTGCCTCCATGGAAAAGTCTCGCAGAAGGAGAATTGAAACTTGAACTGACTGCGTGAGGGGTGACCAAACTGAGATGATTTACAGCAGCGGTCTAGAATTAAGAAATCGATTCGCCTGTAATAAAGTTAAAAGTTAAAATCGGCGTATTTCAGTCAGTAAAGTGACTGGATGACCAAGTTTCGATTCCCGGGAGAGGTATAATACAAATGTTTCTTTTTGTCATCATGTCGAGAAAGATTCTTTGTCCCATCTCGGCCTCGTGAGGGTTCTTCCTGAGACAAAAAGGCTGGAGGGTGAAGTTGACCGCTTGAAAACTGGGGTCGGTATTTCGAATGAAGCTCGAGCATAAATAGGGTTCTATGTCTATTATGACGTATATATTCTTCTGTTCAGGTAGAGGCCTTTCGATGGATCGATTTATGGTCAAAGGCGTTCTACCAAATTAAATTAAATCCGTGGCGTAACAGCTCCAGAGAGCCAAAGCCGACTAGCTTGACTGCTGGCCTCACATTCACATGCCAAAGCAGAGGTGAACGATCATCCAACCAGATATAGGCTGACGTGTGGTCAGCACGACGAACCCCCAGCCACTGCTACCAAATATCTACAAAATTAATTTTGAAGGTGAAAGCAAAGTTTGCCTAGGCCTTTGCTCAATTAAGCACCAAGTCGTGAAGACGTTTGAGTGGAGTTATAACTCCACACATTCTTAGCCCCGGCGCTGTATGAAAGTCAGCTTCAGGCTTAGGGTCCCTTTGTGTTGGAGGCTGTGTGGGCCCCAGAACCAGTAAGGGCAATGTCAGAAAGAAACCCCCCCCCGTCCCTTCTGGGAATGAACCCCCAGCCAATCGCTTTCCTGACTGATCTCTCCCGGCTCATAACATTAGAGTTCCCTAGTTAATTAATTGAAAATTTTATAATGGAATATTCTCCACATCAGTTGAAATAATTTATTGCACCATTATTCAATATTCTGAAAGTAGACAGTGACAAAAAATGCAGTGGATATGTAGCCACAACTCGATCGCCTGGGACTCGTTGATAAAAACGGTTGTACAACGTGAAGAAGAGACCTTGTGCTCCCCTCAGAGGACATGTAATGTTGTTGCACTAGAACCCGAGCGATGGCGAATGTTGGGTCGGTAGCGCGAGCTGTAATTGCAAGAGATGCGTGTCACGCAGTTGGGTC